ATTTGATTACAAAAAAAGGCTTGTTAAGGAGGCATGAGGAAACTGTGTGTGTCTACGTAAATAGACTTGCACCGACGGCCATTTACCTCATATTGCCTGACATGATCGTCATCGTTTAGTTTATCGTATCGTAGTTCTTTGTGATCCTCTTCCCAGGATCACAAAATTCTGTTACCAACCTCTGCATATACTATATTTGGGAACATTTTGCATGATGAATGCTAATGCAATGACATTAATTCGTTAAGCGAACTCACTCCCAATAGATCCCCTAAGCCGTCGTCCGCCATTACGTCATCACTCTGAAATTGATAATGTTATGAACATAAGAAGGAAAACATGATAGAGGTTGATTATTAGAACTGACCTGTCAGCTAAACTATTGTTGATGGTCTAAGTGTACCAGTATCAATTACTCATCGAATGTTTCCCTTTAGTGCCAGCTCGAGAGACTGCATGGCGGCCATGGCAACGCGTCAGCCGTTGAGCAGCAGTTACGGAATTCTATTACTGGGCTAACTGCTAGAGACTGATTCCTATTGAAATCCAGAATCATTTGTGCGCTTGAAAGTGTTGGGACCTTGAGAAATTATTGGGACTGCAAATAAAACAGTTTTAGCCATGAAATCAAGGCTTCCATCGCTTTTATTTTCCTCATCTGAAAGGAAGCCATGTAAGAACGCATACGTCGCAGATCTTTACTTCTTAGAGTTATGCAAGGGTCACTACCTCGAGGTCCATGTTTTTAGTAAAGCAGTCCCCATTAATGCTTATTTTTTTGCCTGTTCTGTGATCTAAAGGAAAGATTAAAGAATGAACAACTCGGTAAGGAAATGCTTCATGAAAGTTGAGAGGTGATTTCTTGTGTATTCCTATGCTGGATTTTGGATTTTCTTCCGAAAAGATCACCCCCACATTTTGTACATCTGGCATATCTTAGTAAGATGGGGAATTAACGGCTGGGCGAGCAGATTGAAATTTCCGCTTCTATCACTTCTACACTCTTCTTTACATGTATCGTCACATGATCTAGAGTTTCTTTTCTTTCATTTTTTCAACGAGAGATTCAATTTTTCATTTCAATTACCCGTGTTCTTGGGGCATTTGGTGAATTGAGCAGAGTTGGCCAAAAAATTTGTTATCTTAAGCTGTAACAGCAAAGCAAAGGCAGCATCACTATAACAAAATATTTGCTTTATTTTTCAGCGTTTCAGACTCTGAAAAAAG